CTGTAGTTCGTAGAGGGCTGTCATGGGGCTAGAGAGTCTGCCGTGACTTTGGAGGTCCTAAGGAGAACTGGGGTCATGGGGAGCAGGGTCCTGCTACAGAGGATAGGAAGAGTCCCTGGGATCCTCTCTATCACTGATTCTGGGGTGAATATTGTAGTACTGCCCCTGGGAACTTGTCTTAAACAGGCAGTGGTCTGCTGAACCCACCAGTGGCTCTTCTTTGTCCCTTCTCCCAGACAGTAGCCATGTCATCAGGGTTTGTGGGCCCAAGGAAGTCTGTCCCCATCCCAGCTGACTTCCTTTCTGCATGACCTCAGCTGGTGGGGTATTAAGGTTTTCATTTGGGAAGTCTGAGGCTCTGAATTTCAGAGCTGAGCCAGGCCTAGTCCTACCCATGAGGAGCCCCACTGCCTCGCAGAGGGACATCTCTGTGGTATACTTTCCCAGCACAGCCTGGTGAATGGCACTGTCTGGCCAGGAAGTCCAAGAACACTTCTGGAAGAAAGGCCAGTGTTGAGAACTGGATAGGACTAAGGGAAGGGAACTTCTTGGCAGGAGGATGGCAGGTGCTTGGAGGCCTACCTGAGAGATGTAGGTCCTGAAGTGGAGCTGCCCAGCAGTGAGGCCACTGCAAGCAAGTGAAAGAGGCAGATGGACCCCTAGCCAGCAGCACTGAGTACCAAGACTTGGGCTAGAACTGAATCTTAGAGTCTTTAGAAGGACCCGCCCCATCACAGACCCAAAGGCCTGGGAAGTGCCTCCCCTGGAAAATCTTGTCTTTTAGTGTAGTTCACTATCATTGTCTCCATTTGAGGTAAGAATCCACCTTCCTTTTTCATATAAGGAGATAGCCCCAGGTGTGATGGCAACATTAGGAGAAAGATGGGACCCTGGGCCTCACTTCCTCCGCTTAATGCACGGTGAGGTTAGCATCTATCTCTTGGGCTGTTGAAGGTTCTGTGAGGTGAAGTGTGTGACAGTACCATGGCACCTGGCCCAGAGAGGTGCTGGCTCTGCCCTGGTGAGAAGTGGCAGGTGTGTGGTGCAGCCTCTCTGAGTGCAGCGTAGCTACACTGTGTTCTTGGCAGGGTCGTCCCGTGAGAATTAGTTCAGACTGGGAGTGTGGAGGTGATCTGCAGGGGTGGAGGCCCCTGGATGAAGACCTTTGCCCTCCTTTTATCACCTTGCCAATGGGATCAGGCCCTCATCTCTAAGGACCACAGAAGGTCAGAGGAGGAAGCTGTCATGATACTGGCCACTGGGAGAAACCATGCAATTGGGCCTCCTTCTATCCCTGTTATCCTTGGGAATCATCGAGAGACCTAACACAGGAGCTAGTGAACAGCAGAGGCCCTTCATACAATAGCATCAGACCATAGACTCCACACCTGTGGAGTGGTGGACAGGGCCCACACCTGGGTTATATCCTAGCACTGACAGCAAGGCAGATGGGTAACTCTTCCTCCCTGAGCCCATCTTCGCTTCCTGTAAAATGGGTAGATGAATGCTCCAGGCAGAGTTGCATGCAGCTGAAGTGAGGAAAGGACTGTACTGTTGAGCTGGGTTGATGCACACCCTGTGCTGAGTTTTGGGGGTACCTCCTGAGTGTGGAATGGGAGAGGGGCCAGTGCTTTCTCACTCTTTCCCCAAACTCCCCAAGTTGGGTGTGCCTTCACTGCCCCCTTGGAGCCTGGGCAGCCCTGGGTGCCCATCTTTCTCCCTCAGGTGGCTGCTTGCTCGGCCTGGCAAGGCACAAACGAGGTGAGAAGGAAGTGATCCAGCCGTATTAGGCATAAGCGGAAGGCAGGGTGGGGCAAGGGCCTGCCTAGGGTGACTCATGGGGCAGGCAATCCTTGCTATGGAGTGGCTGGAGCTATAGACATGTGACCTTGTAGCTGGCTTCCTGGAGAGGTGGTTTTTAAGCCCTGAGATGGTCCTGCTGAGTCCAGGAAGTGATCAAATGACTATTTTTCCTTTCCGAGCCCCAGTGCTCTTATCAGCTGCCTGCCAGGCACACCCTGGCAGACTGTAGCAGCCCAGCTCCCTCTGGGCCAGTGGGTGAGAACCAGGGTTGCTGTGTGTCAGGGCCCAGAGGGAGGAAGGGTGGCAGGCAGACTTCAGGCTGTGAGAAAGAAATGCAGATACATGAGCCCACATGTCCTGCCACCACCCACCAGCGCTTTGAGGCCCAGGGGCAGCCTGGAAGACCTTGGAGGAACCGCTGTCCATGGCTGGGCACAGCGTCCGCTCATATCCCCCCTCATGGAGAAGCCTTTGGGAAAGTGGCCAGAGTCAGGGCTGTCCAGCTGCAGTCAGTAGGCCTAGGGCAGTCCAGGGTTCCTTAGCTAAGGGCCCTGAGCTACCTTAAGCCTTCTGTAGGTCGACCTGGGCCAGCTGGAACATGTTTGTGGAACAGGACAGCAAGGAAGGAAGGGGAGGGTTCTGCAGCCACAGGCTCTGAGCTATGACTGTTTTGGGATCTGGCTAGAGCCAGCTGGGTTCCTGGGGCTGTCAGGGCTCTTGGGTCTCCCTAGACAGGCCTAGTGTGCTGAACCGGCCCCCTGTTCCTCTCTCCAGCCATTCAGCACGTTCAGGCACCGCAGGCAGGAAGCGGCCTGGTTCTCCAGCTCCTCCTTTTGTATTTTCTGGGCCCTGGCAGTCGCGCCTGGACTCCCAGCAGCCTGATCTGGCAGGGCTTTCCAGGCTGGGCCAGAGAGCAGTCTGATCCAGGCTGTGGACTGTTTGCGGACTTGGATGTCAGGTCTAGGGGCCTGCAGGTCCCGGCTCTTCCTAGGTGAGGTGACTTCTCTGATATCTGAGGCAGGGCATCTTCCACTGAGGTATGAGGCCCATTTGGGGGCGGGGAGGACCCTGGAGTCAGGGAGATACGCTGCCCAGTCCGAGCGCCGGCACCAGCCCCACCCCCAGCTGGGTTCTCAGCCAAGCAGAAGGCAGGCCTCCCCACAGCACTGGTCAGTGCTTGCAGTGGGAAGGCGGCCAGGCTTTCGGAGAGGTCATCAAGGGAAGAAGCTGTCTGAACACCTACAATGGTGTGGTGTGGTGTGGTAGGTAGGCTGCCATGTGCCTTTGTGAACTGGGGCATCCCAAGGAAGGGTCCTCCTGGTGGAGCTATGTGCTGGCGGACATGGGCCATAGGGAGGAGCTCCACAGGGAGCCTCAGGAGTGTGGCAGGTTCCAAACCGACTTCAGAGGCCTCACAGCTTTCCTCTGCCCCTGTCCATTTCCTCAGGGCGTTCAAGGCCAGCCTCACGCTGGGCATGGGGAGGCAGTGGGAGGAGGCTGACTGGGTCTCTGGGGGTAGGGTGTCCAAGGGCTGGGGTCCCACTTGCAGTTCTGATCCCTTGCAATGCCTAGACTTCATGTTGGGAGGTTCATGTGCGTGCAGAGCTGGTACCATGGAGATGTGGAGTTTGGGCTGGGAGGGTGGCTTCTGTCAGCCTGCGAGCCTCTGGGCAGGGCCCTTCGAGGCTTGCTCTGGATTCTGAGCCCATAGATCATGGACCTCAGCCACCTTTACTCCAGGTGATCATGGAAATGGGTGTGCAGAATGTCTGCCCTGCGAGGGAGTGTCTTGCAACTCTGCCAGGCTCTGAGTCCCTCCAGGTCAGGGCCCAAGCCCCCGCCTGACTGAGGTAGGGAGAAAATGGTAGACTGAGCCTTTGGCGTGTTGGCGCCAGAGGTCAGAGGGTGTTAGAGGATGGAGGCGTTGTGGGCAAAGCCCAAGGAGGGAGATTTTTCCCAGTTCCAGGAGTGCAGGCTACAGACACAGGTGTGAGCAAGGCCTGCTCAGCTTCCATGGCAGGAATGGTCTTTCCAGGCCCAGACAGGGCTAGGGCTTTTCCTCAGCCCCAGCTATAGGAGGAGGTAGCAGTTGGGCAGGTACTGTGCTGTTGGCTCAGGAAGGGGCTCTTGACCTTTCTGAGGTTATTTCCAAGCATCAGAGCAGGTACTCCCTTGGTACGTTTCCACATGATGCACTGAAATAACTGAGGCACAAAGGCCAGGGTTGTGCGGGTGACATGGCCAGGACCATATAGTAGGTGAATGTGGGCTCAGGTCCAAAGCCAGATCTGTCAGAGCCAGTCCAGGTGCCTGAGCCTTGTGCCAAGGCCTGTTAGGCCCATAGACCTGGCGTGAACCTGAGTCCTGGTATGTGGACCCTAGCTGAGTCTCAGCATTGCGGGTATTGTGCAGACTGCAGCATCCCTTCCCGACAGACACATGTTTTCCTCCTCTGCTCCATCCCCACTTGGTCTGGGGAAACTGAACTCAGGGCCGCGTGCATGCTGGGCAAGCACTCTACTACTGAGCTATGTGCACAGCCCTTTTTATTTTGAGACGGCATCTTGCTAAGTTGCCCAGCTTGGCCTTGAAATTGAAACTATTTGCTTCATCTTCCTGTGTAATAGCTAGGACTATAAACGTGTGCCAACGTATCTGGCTGTTGGTCTATAAAATGGAACCGTAGAAGTTCTTGGGTTTTTCCTACCTCATGGGGGCCAGTGGAGTGGCACAGTGTGTGGAAAAGGCCCTACTGAGTGGCATTCTGGATGAATGTTGGGACAAGGAGTCTGCTTTGGTTTTGGACAGAGATGAGGGGAGGGGGGAAGACCCCAGAACTTCAGAAAGCTGTCTGGGCCTGGGTACCTCTGCTAGGGGTCTCAGGGCCGGGCCAAACCCTACCCTGCAGGCTCAGAAGCTTACTTTAAGTCCAAGTAGTTATAGAATCTTCAGATTTTTGCTCTCTGGGAGTCTGAGCCCCTTGCCCAGATCCCCACAGTGAAGAGGGACTGTGGGTCTGTATGACACCCCTCTCCCCACACTTGCCTGAAAACAACGGAGAGTGGAGGTTGGGAAGAGGAGTGACTGCCCTGGGAGGGAAGTAGGGGCAGAGGCAGGTGAGTGGGTGGGGAGCTGGCAGCCAGCTTGGCAGTGCTGCTGCCGGCCCTGTCTGACACTTGTATTGCCCACCTCCCCAGGTCCCATCTGATGCCAAGGCTGAAGGAGTCTCGCTCCCACGAGTCCCTGCTCAGCCCCAGCAGCGCGGTGGAGGCGCTGGACCTCAGCATGGAGGAGGAGGTGGTCATCAAGCCGGTGCACAGTAGCATCCTGGGCCAGGACTACTGCTTCGAGGTGGGTCTCACCACAGGTCAGGGTGGGGCACCTGTGTGCTTCCCTGGCCTGGTCTCCAGGCCCCTCATGGATTGTTCTGGCTTCAGCAAGGGGCAGGCTCCTCAGAAATGGCCAGAATCTGCTCATAGCTTTTGACTCCTGGGAGACAGAGTAGATCTGGGAGCATGGAGGGTCCTATTCCTGCTAGAGGGTTCCTTGGAAATGACCCAGAGCCTCCTCCCCATGCTAGTACTTGAAGGCGCTAGGCCTCCACTGGGGGCAAGTGAGTAACAAAAAGCCTGTGTGGAATTACTTAAGCTTCAGGGCCCCTGTGGGAGCCTGCTCACTCCCCAGTGCCTTGTGGGTTATGGAGGGGGACCCCCCCGAATCCGGGCTTGTTTCTCCATCTGTTCAGTGAGAGCACAGACCTTTCCTGCCCAGCATTCTGTGACCCAGGATTTGAGAACAGAGGCCCAGTGACCCAGCCTGTGCAAGGCCGTTCCCTAACGGTTACCTGTGCAGTTCCTCTTGGTAGCTGGGGAAGCATGGCCTGGAGAAGGCAAGATGTCAGAGTTCACATCACCAGGCTGAGGGACCCAGCCAGTTGCTAATGCTGCCGGTGTTGCTGGGAGTTCCTCGTTGCTTCTCCAGTTATTCCCCTTGTCTTTCTTCCTGCTTCTGTTTCTGGGAAGATTCCTGCCCCACACCCACTCCCACCTCCAACAGTTATGCATAATTTGGGGAGCTCTTTGGTAGAGGAATGAGCCTGATAATGACAAGCTGCCATTTAGGAACTAGTGTGACAACCTCCTGGCATCTGCCCACAGCCTGTGCCTCCTGTGTGCTCTTTCGAGTGTAAGACTCCCTGCTGAGCTGGGCTTGGTCTTCCTTGGCTAGGATGGCTGAGGTGGTCAGTCACTGTCCACGTCTTCATAGCAAAGGCTGCTGGGAAACGTGCAGGCCCTCGAGTGCCTGGATAAGGGGTATGGCATGCTGCCAGGGACCTTGTGGGCAGAATGGGAGCAGGTTGGGTCAGGCTCCCTTGCTGGGAGGAGACATCTAAGCTGCAACCGGGGGATGAGCAGGAGGGAGGCGGGCAGGACAGAGGAAAGGTTCCAGGCAGAAGACCCTTGTGGGCTTGGCGCACAGTTGTTAGGATTTGTGATTATCATTGTTACTGCTGCTGGGCCAGAAAAGCCTCAGAAGGTGTCAGCTAGGGACTGGGTGGTTCTTGTGCTTGTCCTTGCTTTTCTCCTTGGAATTTGTGCTTCTGTGTTTAAGAAGGCTTTGCTTGTGGTGTGCAAGGCCTGTGTTTGGGCAGTGTGCCCCATGCTCGCTTTTCTCCCATCTTAGGAAGAGGAAGGTCAGAGTGAGAAAGTGCTTTCCTGTTTGGACAGGAGGACTGTAGGCAAGGATCAGGGGCCAGGTGACAGGGGCAGGCCACTCCCTGCTGCTGAGCTGCTCAGGGACAGTGGGTCTCAGTATATCACATGTGAAATGTGAGGTGCATGGGTGATTATGAGCCTTGTCCTGCCTTCTTCCAGAGACCGTGTGCGGATGCAACGGCCACAGGGGCCTTTCCTCACTACCCAGTCTGCCACCATCCTTTCCCCTGTAATACTGTTGTCTGCCCCCTGCAGGTGACAACATCATCGGGAAGCAAGTGCTTTTCCTGCAGGTCGGCAGCAGAGCGGGATAAGTGGATGGAGAACCTGCGGCGAGCAGTGCACCCTAACAAGGTAGGCCTGCACCTCCGCTCACTGGGCACAGGGATTGAGAGGAGCCTCCAGCGTGAGGGAGCCGGGACAGGATTCCTGTGGGGTCTGGAGTTGGAGGGAAGGCAGAGCCTGGTACAGTCTGCAGGGGTTTGAGTAGGCTGAGACAGCTGCTGTGCGTCTGTCACTGAAGCTACACAGGGAGGAGGCTGGGCTGAAGAAAGGGCAAGTTGGGTGCTGTGACCATCTGCCTGGAACTTTGGTCCCTGTTTTCCCCAGTTGACTCTGGCTCATTTGTTCTCGTCCAGCTTAGACACCTGCCCCCTCCTGCAGGCGGGCAAGCCTGGCCCAGCTTGGTGCCTTCCTCTGTGTTCCCACTGTTCCTGGGCTCCCACGGTCGGTAGGGACCCTGATGTAATCTCTGCTGTGTCTGTTTCCCCAGCTGACTTGTGGACGTGGGCCAGTCCTGGTGGCCATGACGTCACTAAGGAAGTAGTTACTTCTTCAATTACTTTAGTTACCTGTTAAGCCACTTAGCCGTAGTTACCTCTTCAGTGACTTCACAGACCAGCAACCTGAGAAAGTGCTAACCAGGGCACCATACCCCGAGATGTGGCAGGCTTTGTGCTGTCCTCTTTCCTCAGTCTCTCTGAGCCAGGAGTTACTTTGTCCTATTTTATAGAAAGGCAGACTGAGGCCCGACTATGTTACTTACCCAAGTGAGCCTGTGTAAGAGGAGATGAAACAGTGGCCATTGGACCCCATGCAGTCTCAGGATCTGAGTCCTTCCTTACCACCACCACCACCCCTCAGGTCCCCTTCCAGATAGCCCAGGAGTCCGGGCTCTGGGCTGGGCAGGTGGTGGCCCAGCTGACCGCTCTGGGCCCCTGTGCACATGCAGGACAACAGCCGGCGTGTGGAGCACATCCTGAAGCTGTGGGTGATTGAGGCCAAGGACCTGCCAGCCAAGAAGAAGTACCTGTGCGAGCTGTGCCTGGACGATGTGCTCTACGCCCGAACCACAGGCAAGCTCAAGACGGACAATGTGTTCTGGGGCGAGCACTTCGAGTTCCACAACCTGCCGCCTCTGCGCACGGTCACCGTCCACCTGTACCGGGAGACGGACAAGAAGAAGAAGAAGGAGCGTAACAGCTACCTGGGCCTGGTGAGCCTGCCTGCTGCCTCGGTGGCTGGGCGGCAGTTTGTGGAGAAGTGGTACCCCGTGGTGACGCCCAACCCCAAGGGCGGCAAGGGGCCAGGGCCCATGATCCGCATCAAGGCACGCTACCAGACCATCACCATCCTGCCCATGGAGATGTACAAAGAGTTTGCCGAGCACATCACCAACCACTACCTGGGGCTGTGCGCAGCCCTGGAGCCCATCCTCAGCGCCAAGACGAAGGAAGAGATGGCGTCTGCCCTGGTGCACATCTTGCAGAGCACGGGCAAGGTGAAGGTGCGTTTGGGTGCTGCTTGTAAGGAGGCCTGGTCACAGGCGTGGGGCTGCGCATCTTCCTGTCCTTATTCAGTACCCAGCTCCAGTGGAGGCCCTGGGGACAGTGGTCACAGCCAGGTGGGCTCCTTAGACCCAAGTTTGGTCATGAGGTGGGAGGCTTTACAGTCTCCATGGTGGGCTGAGCCCCGAGTCACGTGTGGAGCTGTGGACAGGACCATGGCTCGTAGTGTGTGTTAGGGGGCCGTCCCTTCAGATGTCCCCACTGCTGGTCCAGAGGGCTTGAGCAGGGCATGGAGCTGAGCTCTCCTAGCACACGTGGACCCTGGACACATACCCAGTGGGGTGTTGGGTTGGACAGACATCCCCAAAGGTGACTTACCAGATGAGCCACCATCAACGGCCTCAGCATCTGCCCACACTGTCACAGCTTGGGCACAGATTTCACACACAGGTGGACAGTCAGTGACCCTCAGCTCCAGAGCCTTGTCTTCCCCTGTTACCTGCCACTCCTGAAAATGGGCCCACCACACCATCCCTCAAGCCCCACCCGCGTGGTTTGGGGACTTCCCAGCTTAGCGGAGCATGTGGGTGTCTGTGTGACATCCTTCCCTCATTGCTGTGCCACCTCCCCTGGGGAAAGCTGCCCAGAGGGGAGGAAGAGGGAGGGTGGACTTGAGCTGGACTGTCCTGTGACATGGAAAGACCCCAAGTGCCAGGCTGAGGAACTGGCTTCAGTCTCCAGACTGATGTGGTTTGAGAGTGTATGGCTTGTGTGTTAGAGGTGGGGAACTGCCCTGGGTCTGGGTCCTGAGCCCTCAGCCAGAGCTGGAGGAGGCCCAGCTGGGGAGCTGTGCATGATTCAGGCACCCCTTGTCCTCTTACCTGTGCCTGGAAGCCCTGGCAAGGGAGGCTTTGGCTGGAAGTCCCCTGGCCCTTACAGAGCCTCTGTAACCCCGTCTTTTGTTGGCACTGTGCAGCGAGGCCCGCCATCAGGAGAGGAACTTGCTCACGTGGCAGGGGATGCCTTCTTCCATGTTGGGCTGCTGCCTCTTCCCTGCCCCAGCCGTCAGACTTGCTGGGGAGGTTGCTGGAGGGGCCAGCTCATTCACTGAGCAGTGGTGGAGTCGGGGTGCTAGGAAGGAGTGAGTAAGGAAGCCCATGGCCCCAGAGGATTTGAGGAAGGCAGCAGGGTCCAAGCCTTTCCTGCTGCTGCGTCTGACCTTCCAGTCCCTGGTCCCAGGGTCAGGGCTGGGAAGCAGACTCAATCCAAAGTGGCCGAGAAGCATACTGAGGTGCCACTGGGGAAGGCAGTGGGAGCCGGTCTCCAGCCAGACTTGGCAGCCCCTGGTAGGGCGGGGAGGCAGTGGATGGAAGGATAGAAAGTGACTGATGTGACTGAGTGGTGTGTTTTCTGGAACGCTTGGGAACTACTGAGGCTTCCTTGTGTGAGGGAGCAGATGTGGTGAGAGCAGTTTGCGAGACAAGAGACAGGCCTGGGTAGCTGAAGGCTTAGGCTGGATTGGGCCCCAGGTAACTGTACGGCCTAAGACAAGTCATTTTCCTCCCTGTGCCTTGCTTTCCCCTCCCCTAGGACCAGCTCCCCATCCCCTGTTGGGGCCTGGCACCCACCACAGGAGTTCAGGGAAGTTGTGGGTTGAGTGGGAGCTCAAGGGGAGATGCTGATCTTACCTCTGCTTGGTATATGCAGGGGACAGGACCCTAGAGTCACCCGCAGGTCAAGAAGGGGCCCTTGGTCTGAGTCTCGGTTTTGTATTTGAAAGAGCCCCGAAGTTGGCCCTTTGGAGTGAGGAATTTCTAGAGCATCATAAACCCAGGTCCATGCTGGCTCACCCTTCTGAGTCGCTGCCTGCCTCCCTTTCTTCTCCCCCTCCACAAAATCATAGGTTACCTGTGGGTGCTAGGAGCCAGGGCTCCAGAGGGAGGGAGCTGCTCTCTTTGTGGGTGCTAGTGCTAAGCAGGAGGGATGGCTAAGGATCCTGAGCTGGGTGCTTAGCAGCTGCCTTCCAAGGCAGGTGCGGGCCTATGACAGTGAGGAGCAGTGGTGCCACAGCCTACCTCCCACGCCAGGGCCCTGCTCGGTGGATGCCAGTCCCTTCTCTTACCTGTCTGAGCACGGAGGCTCAGTCCCATCCAGGGCAGCTGGCCTCCTGTCCTCTTGTCCTTCTCTGTGCCTGGTGGAACTCTCTCCCCTTCTGATGCTCCAGGATGGATCATGGCAGCTGTTGGTAGCAGGAGAAGGCGGTCAAACATAGCATCTTTGGCCCACCTCTCTGATAGGGGGACCTCTTGTGTGGCTACCGGTCAGGGCTGAATAGAGAGCTTCGAGCGCAGCCAGTCCGAACATAATGTGGAGGCTGTGGCTCCATGTGTCAGGCTTTCACCCAGGCCTTCTCATCCATCTGCCCAGCTCTGACGTCACCAGCTCCAGGCTTCTCATTCACCAGGCTCTCCTGCCAGGCCTGCCCTCCAAGCAGCCTCCAAGGTGGCACCCTGTTCCTCTGGGTCCCAACAGCATGGGCAGTGAGCAGCCTGAGGGCAAGGGCTTCCCCTCTGGCTGGGCCTGTCGTCCTCGTCCCTCCAGGCCAGCTCAGCCCGCTCTCTGCCCATCTCATGCCTCCCCAGGATTTCCTGACAGACCTAATGATGTCAGAAGTGGACCGCTGCGGGGACAACGAGCACCTCATCTTCCGGGAGAACACACTGGCCACCAAGGCCATCGAGGAGTACCTCAAGCTGGTGGGCCAGAAGTACTTGCAGGATGCACTAGGTAGGGAGGCTGCTGGCTGCAGGTGAGCAGAGGGCTGGACAGTGCCCACCCGGCCCTCATGCTCTTTCCTTGCCCCTGGCCACAGGTGAGTTCATCAAAGCTCTATATGAGTCGGATGAGAACTGTGAAGTGGACCCAAGCAAGTGCTCAGCCGCTGACCTCCCTGAGCACCAGGGCAACCTCAAGATGTGCTGTGAACTGGCCTTCTGCAAGATCATCAACTCCTACTGGTCAGTGCTGGCCCCATGAGCACTTCAGGGACCCTGCCCTGTCATCTTGACCGTCCTCCTCTATGTCAGATTGCCCACAGTGTGGCAGGTACAGGGGTCACAATCTACCTGCCGCCTGACCCCTGCATGACTGGATTGCCAGACTGCTGACCTGCTCCTTTTGGGTTCTCAGATGCAGGGGAGTGTTGCAGCATGTCTTGGGATGTAGTTTGTACCATAGGCAGAACCTGGGCACAGCAGTCCACCAGGGGTGGCACAGGACTGACGAGTCCTGCTTGGGCACCCACTTTGGAGATGCCCTGCCTTCCGTAGAAGTTATGTTCACAGCACAGCCTTTGACCAGTTCACAGAGGCCATGTGTGGGTGTCTAAGCATGGGGCACGCCTCCAGTTGAGACTAGAGAGCAGGAAGAAAGGAGTGGACCGGCCAGGCTGAGGCAGGAGGATCTCAAGTTCAAGAGATTTAGCCAGACTGTATCTCAAAATAAAAAACAGGTCTAGGGATGTAGCTTAGTATGAAGGCCCTATGTTCAATCCCCACTACCACCAGTTAGACTAAAAATAGAGCTCTGACCATCCAGGAGGGCTTTGCTGCTGCCCCAGGCTATGGGTTTATTTTCACACTAGGGCACTGATAACCCCTTCTGCCTGAGCCCCTCTGCAGCTGCACTTCCCTCTGGTCATTTTTGATTTCACTCCCTCTGACCTGCATGGGCTCTAACCTCCTGCCCCCACTGTGGCCTTTCCTCTCGCCAGACTCACCCCTCCTGGGCCCTTGCTGTCACGGCCCTGTCCCATCAGAGCAGGGTTGTGTTTGTCTGAACGTGTTTCCTGCCATGTCGAGGACCACGTGGTGCAGGAGGGCTGGGGAAGTGTTTGGTGCTCCCAAAGAACAGGCAGAGGCAGGCCTCCAGGACAGGCAGTGGCCGTGGGCAGGGGACAGAGGGAATGGCCTGGACCAGAGGCGTGAGCTCCCGTCTGCCCAGCCTGTGTTGTGCAAGGTGCTTGCCTGGGGCCAGCAGGCTCCTTGGGCTGGCTGAAAGTGTGTGGAAGTTGGGGGAAGTGTACCCCCTTGGGCTTCAGAGGCAACCAGAGAGCCTCTAACTCTCTGGGAACACAATCCCTACCCATCACTGGGCGGGGTTTTCACCCTCTACTCACCATTCCAGGGCAGCGGGGTGTGGGACCTGGGAAACATTTGTGTGTGGACAAGGATTTTCCATTTCCTCTTTCTGGTGCTTGTCAGATTCTTTTTCTGAGCAAGGCCATCAGTAGATAACACGCTCCGTCCTGTGCCAGGCGCTACAGGGATCAGGGCTAAGAACCCCTCCCCTCCGCTTCCTCACCAGCAGCCCTTGACAGTTCAGCTGGTCAGACCCTCTGTGGTTTTCGTGCTTCAGCCTGGAGAGGCCTCTGAGCTCGGTAGGGCAGGCCTTGTTCTCATTTTAAAGGACAGGAGACTGAAGCTCAGGCAGGGCCAAGGTCGGCCAGAGGCTCAGTCACGTCACCCTGTGCTCATTGCTTAGCCAGGCATAGACTGGGTTTCGGGGTATCAGGGCCTGCTCTGTCCCAGGATGGGAGGTGCATCTTTCAGGGTGAAAAGGTAGGAAAATCACTTAAAGATTGGCCGGTAGACCCTGACTGTGGCAAGTTAGGGTGCCCATGGAGCTACCTAGCATCCCAGCGTTTTAGGGCCAGCTCTGCCCTCTCATGTCACCCCGGGGAAGTCACTGCTTTCTCTCCCTCCCCCATGCGGAGCACAGAGCGGTGTTCTCACCTTGTGGTTAAGGATACCCCCTTTCCCTGATCATCTCGAGCTCCCCAGCAAACCTCTATGTCATTATTCAGGCAAACAGAGTGAGTCTCGGAGCCTGTGATGGGAGCCCAAGGAACAGCAATCTCTCCGTTGTTTTCCTCACTCTCCCCGGATAGGAATACCTGCTGTTTGAGTAGAAAGCTGTGTCGCCCCCCGGGGGAGGTGGAGGGTAGTTCGGCACTGCCCTTGCTGTGGCTCTGGTTAGAGCACAGAGCCAGCTCCCTGACCTGTCTCCTGGCCCACTGAGCCCCTGGGTGAGAGCCTGCCCAGACTGAGCTTGGTCTCCTGCTACAGAGAGAGCAGCCCGTGCTGCCCTATGCTGGCTGCCCCTCTGCACTGTCCCCTGCCTGGCGGGGGGCCAGCTGGCCGAGGAGTGGTAGTGCAGAGGGTTCCGCGAGAGCCAGAACCTCATCGTGCGCTCTGCTGTGCCGCCTTGGGCCCCTGCCTGACTACCTCGCCCACCCTCATCTGTCCCTGCACAGCGTCTTCCCACGCGAGCTGAAAGAGGTGTTTGCCTCCTGGCGACAAGAGTGCAGCAACCGAGGCCGGCCCGACATCAGCGAGCGGCTCATCAGCGCCTCCCTCTTTCTGCGCTTCCTCTGTCCAGCCATCATGTCGCCCTCCCTGTTCAGCCTGCTGCAGGAGTACCCCGATGACCGCACCGCCCGCACCCTCACCCTCATTGCCAAGGTCACTCAGAACCTGGCCAACTTCGCCAAGTGAGTGCCAGAGTCCTGGGCCCGGGCAAGGGGACAGGCCCTGTGCTTGTCCCCGTCACTCCCTCCCCTTATTTCAAACAGCACCTCCTCCAGAGCCCCTCTGCGTAGTAAAAAGTACCCACCACTTTGGTGTTGCCTTACTTTTCAAAGGTGAGAAGACAAGTTATTCTTCCCTTCTGCTCTTGAATTAATATTAATCGTAAGGATTCTCCCATATCCCCTAACATTCCTAATCTCGGTTTCAAAATGGAGTAGTATTCCTCCAAGGGGAGCAGCCTCTGTCTGTTCAGTGAGTCCCCTGAGCGGGTAGGGGGACTCGGTTGTTCCAGTCCGTCTCAGGTTGATGGATGTCTTTGCTCGGCATATCTGATGTCTTTGGCTGCATTCTCAGAGCAAGTGGGTGGCAGTGGAAGGGCTGGGTCATCTTATTATTGTTGTTATTCATTCAGAACGCGTGGACTCTGCCTGGTTCCAGGGCTGTCTCTATGCTGGGCCTGACCATGCAAAGATGAGTCAGCCCTGGCTCCAGCCCCCAAGAGCTTAGCACTCTAGCCTGGAGGCCTGTGGGATAAACAACAGAGGCGTGGCCAGGACACATTCCAGTGTCTCAGGAGGACCCCAGGCTGGTGGAGACAAGATGGGGCGGCCTCTGAGGTGGCATGACTCCCAGCTGTGTCAGAATGAGGCGTTCATCCAGCTCCAAGAAGGGCAGCAAGACAGAGGCTGGTGTGCCAGGGAGGCTTGTGGTGCAGCAAAATGTGGAGCCTCAAGTGTCAGGCCAGGAGAAACAGGAGACAAAGCCCAAGAGAACAGCAGGGACCTGAAGATCACTGGTCATGGGGAGTCACTAAGGGAGATGGTGGCCTTATCTGTTCTGGATCCTGAAAAGACCTCCCAGTCAGCAAGGACGCAGGACTGGCAGCTGGGAGATCCAGGAGGAGAGGATAGCCATGTTTCCAGGAAAAATGGCAGAAGTACTAGGGGAGGGAAGTGGTGCAGGAGGCAGTGGTTGCAAAGAATGAAGTCAGAGTGATTAGAAAATAAAGGCGTCAGGCCTTGCCACTGGGGAATGAGGAAGAGGAAGGGGTTGACAAGTGCCGGGCATCTGGGTAAATGGTGGTGTCTCAACTGAGGATAGAGAGCTTAGAAGTAGAACCTGAGTTCAGGGTGCTGCTTTTGACTCCGGTCTTAACCAGGATGAGTAGGAAGGACTTGCAGAGGAGACCTGGAAGCTCAGCAGACAGACCTGGGCCAACCATGGGTCTGAGAATCATCTTGCATCAGGCATGTAGACTTGGAGATAAGAGGAAGGAGACTGCAATGGGTAGGTTAGGGGGACACAGGAGCATTCTGTGTCCTGTGAGTGAAGGTCAGGAAGAGAGTCTTGGCCTTGAGTGCTCACCTTGGTCTTGGCCTTGAGAAAGAACAGCCCTGGTCACAGCAGACACAGTTATTGGGGAGCAAGTGCTGTGGAGCCAGCCACAGTGGGTGGGGGGACGGAGCTAGTGGTATTGACAGGTAGCTCAGAGGCACTCACGTGACACACACTCTTTCTAGGTTTGGCAGCAAAGAAGAGTACATGTCATTCATGAACCAGTTCCTGGAGCATGAGTGGACCAACATGCAGCGCTTCCTGCTGGAGATCTCCAACCCCGAGACCATCTCCAACACAGCCGGCTTCGAGGGCTACATTGACCTGGGCCGTGAACTCTCTAGCCTGCACTCACTGCTCTGGGAGGCTGTCAGCCAGCTAGAGCAGGTACCTGTGGCCGTGGGTCAGAGGGCGGGGTGCAGGGCCACTGCAGAGCTCACCTTGGTGCTCTTCCTTCCAGAGTAGCCCTGAAGTCAGAGGGTTTTCCTGTGTGGCATGCATCAGCCCACCCAAGTGCCAGCAGCTTGGGCTTCTGGCCCAGGCCCCGTAGATGGACCAGGGGTCTCTGGGACCCTTTTTAAAACTTCTCATTAGTGCGTGAGGGCTGTGTTCCCTCACCAGCGTTGGCTGATGCCACGCCTCCCATGCCCAGCCTCTGGTAGCTGAGTTCCACATCTGAAGGCTCACTCCCTACCGAGTTCCTGGGAGTGATGGGCTCAGACTTAGCCGTGTCACTAAAGATGTCCTTGCTCTGGGTTTTGAAGCCACTCAGATGGAAAAGATAGACTCTGAAGATGCTGTGCTTCTGTGTGCCAGTTAAGAGGTTTCAGACCCTTCCAGGGATGGGGAGCTGCTCAGTAATAGAGCACTTACCTAGCACATGTGAGGCCCAAAGTTCAGTCCTTAGACTGAAAAACAAAGCACACAAACCTCTCTAGAACTGCCCTCCACTGTCACTTGACAAGGTTATTCCCTAAACACCCCTAACATGGCTGCCATCACCTGGACTGAGCCCTCCCCAGGCTGGGGTTCCATGGACACCCCAAGCCCCCGGGACCCTCCACCCACATGATGAAGTTTCTTGGCATTAAGGGCTGACCCTGTAGGAAATCCTTTGCTTTCCAGAGCTCCGGGGGACCCTCTTACAAAAGTAAGTAATCCTAAAGAACTCAGCTAGAAGGCCTCTGCCTCTCAGTCCCATCCCAGGAAGTAACCACTCGGTACGCAGCCTTCTACACACATCGTTGCATGTGCAGGAACACAAACATGCAGGCACAAATACGGACAGCTCTCGCCATGTCTAAGCTTTTCATGTGAAAGCTTACTGTGTACACTGCCGTGTATGTTTCTCACTCGTGTTGTGGGGCTCTTTCCACCTCTGCTTCCTGCACCACCTCTGCCCTTTTCAGCAGCCACATACTGTCCTGCCACATGAACACAGTTTATATCACCAGGCCCCTGGCGATAGACACTTGGGTTGTCCCCGCTTTTCACTGAAACCACTCAGTTGCAGTCACAGGCGGTCAGTTTTGCTCATTTATATCCACTTGCCTTTGGCTGAGAAAAACACGGGAGGGCGAAGTGGAAACAAAGGCCAGGCCCCTCCCTTCCTGCAGTCGGCAGCCCTGCCCTGCACTCTACACCAGTCACTTTCACTGCCGCTGCTTGCTGAGTCCCTGCGCTCCTCACTGGGTCTCACAGCCAGGCAGGAAGTACGGAGAGTGATCGGCGTTGTTACACAGCGGCTAGGGTTCAGGGAAGATTTGCCTAAGTGCCTCTACAAGGCTGCTGTGTTGACTACAAGTTTTCATACTTTGCCTTCACCTGTTTATACAAAGGACTTCATGTAAAAGCTGTGCCCCCAGCCCTTATTTAGCTCCTTGTGCTCTGCACTGTGTCTAAACCCTGACAGCAAGGTTGAGAAAGGCCCAGGCACTGTCCTCTGAGCTCTGCCTGGCCGTCCCCATTGGGGCTCAAGCATCAGAGGGGCCAGGCCCAGTCCACTTTATAGAGCAGGTAGTGGGAAGGGGCTGCCCACGGAAGCCTCTTGGATAGGGAGGTGTAGGGTAGAAGCTCTGGGTTTCCAAGCGGGCTTTCCTCTCTCTGGGGACATCAGGCTAGGATAAACTGGCATGGTGCTTGGGTGAGGTCATCATCTCTCTCTGTGGCCTTACATATCTGTCCAGAAATAGCTGGGGAGTGGGTGACAAAATATGCGTTACAGATCCCTGAGTCAGCCCTTGCCAGACCTGCTGGCTCTGACCGGTGGGCGCCAACAGTCTGCGTTTCTGACAAGCTCCTCAGTAGTTTTGAACCACTGCGGCTACAGCACTCTTAGCCTCCCAAGTGACCCCATTTGGTCACACCTGCCCTGTGCCATGTCTTTGCAGAATATTGTATCCAAACTGGGCCCCCTGCCTCGGATCCTGAGGGATGTCCACACGGCACTGAGCACCCCAGGCAGCGGGCCACTCCCAGGGACCAACGATCTGGCCTCCACACCGGGCTCTGGCAGCAGCAGCATCTCTGCTGGGCTGCAGAAGATGGTGATCGAGAACGATCTCTCTGGGTAAGAGCTGCCGGGTGTGCTGGGTGCAGTGGGTTACAGTGCACCCTAGGCAGCCTAGACGCAGCCTCTAAAGTGCATCCCCACCTCAGGTAACAGCCGGGCTTTGTGCCTGGGAGCCAGAGAACATAGAGGTGCTGAGCCCCGTGCCTCACTGAGCCCGTGGCCATAGGCTCAGGCTGCACATCATGCGTAACACATGCACCTGCCCGTCGGGAGGAAGGAAAGGAGGGCAAGTGCTCTAGGTTTAAGTCAGAATGGAAACATTTGATTAGGAAACTTGGAGTTTGTGTTGCACTCCTCGCGCCTCACCCCCATAGCCACCGGTGGCTCACCTTGGACCAGCTTGTGAGGAGCGGGCAGAGCAGCTAGTGGGAAATGCGGTCTCAATCCGAGATGGACACAAGGCACGTTTGAGGCGGAGGAGGGCGTCAGAAGCAGATCTGAGGGGTGGATGCCCCAGGAGGCGGTGGGGCCCATCCCTCTGAACGTTGCGTTGGAGCTCTGCTCTCCTAACCTGCCAGGTGAGGCACAGCAGGGCATGAGGCAGAGTTGAGGTGGGGTGCACTTAGAGGCTGTGAGGGGGCCAGGAGTATGGGTGCTGAGAAAAGCTCACTGGATTTGCAGCATGGGCAGCTTAGACTCTGGCTGGGCTTGGTTTCTCTTGGCTCTGTCTACAGCCATTGTCCAGCTCTTCCCTGTCCTGAGTGCTGTGGCACCAGGTGCCTGCAGCTGCCCTGTCGGAGGCCTTGGCATCTGCCCCACCTGAGGCAAGCTGACCCTGATTCCTCATTCTAAGCCCATGTCAGACTGCCTTTGTCGAGCGCGTCATTGCTGCCTCCCACCCACATGAATGTGTTTGCCCCCACATTCTTCCTTCCACAGCCCTGCTGACCCCTCCGCAGTTGTGCTTGGCCTCTGGGGAGGGTCGGACAGGTGTGGCACTGGGGGAGACCAGGCGGTGTGGTGCGCCAAAGGAAGGTGCAGCCCTCTGCACAGGTTCAGACCCATCCACCTGCCTCCTACCCTTAATGGATCCTCCTCTGAGTCCCTGTTTTTCCAGAACACCTGCCCCCACCTGCCAGTCAAATTGGGAGTGTCAGCAGGAGGCTGGGCAGGCGGAGGCTTCACTAGGCCCCACACGGGCTATTATTCTGAATAGGAACAAGTGGGAAGAGGCAGAGGGAGCCCGGCCCCTGCAACTTTGAAATTAGGGCTGGCGATGCAGGGCCTGTGGATAGCAGAGCTACTGAGCTGAGGACTTGGGCTTGGGTGCAGGGAGTCTCCAGAGCGCGACAGACCCCAGAACCCCTTGTCCCATGTTGCAACTGAGCAGGGAAGGGGCCTGGAGTAGCGAGCTGCTCTCTAGAAGCTCTGCACCGGAGCAGCCGTCTCAGCCACCAGTCCCTGGAAGCCTCCCCCTCCTGCCTCCCCAGCCCTGGCTCGGGCTGCCTGGTCCCAGCAGGTTGGCAGGTGCTGTTGATTTGGACCCACGTGGCTGCTCTCACAGTTCTTCTCTTCCCCTTTTTTCCCTGTGTGTGCTTGTCTCCCTGCAGTCTGATAGATTTCACCCGGTTACCGTCTCCAACCCCCGAAAACAAGGACTTGTTTTTTGTCACAAGGTCCTCCGGGGTCCAGCCCTCACCTGCCCGCAGCTCGAGCTACTCGGAAGCCAACGAGCCTGATCTCCAGATGGCCAACGGCGGCAAGAGCCTGTCCATGGTGGACCTCCAAGACGCCCGTGTGCTGGACGGGGAGGCGGGCTCCCCAGCGGGCCCCGACGTCCTTCCCCCTGACGGGCAGGCCCCTGCAGCTCAGCTGGTGGCTGGATGGCCATCCCGGGCAGCACCAGTGAGCCTGGCAGGCCTGGCCACCGTGCGGCGGGCAGGCCAGACACCAACTACGCCAGGCACCTCCGAGGGCGCACCGGGCCGGCCCCAGCTGTTGGCACCACTCTCCTTCCAGAACCCCGTGTACCAGATGGCGGCCGGCCTGCCGTTGTCCCCCCGCGGCCTTGGAGACTCAGGCTCTGAGGGCCATAGCTCCCTGAGCTCTCACAGCAACAGTGAAGAGCTGGCAGCTGCTGCCAAGCTGGGAAGTTTCAGCACTGCTGCAGAGGAGCTGGTGCGGCGGCCTGGTGAGCTGGCGCGGCGGCAGATGTCACTGACTGAGAAGGGTGGGCAGCCCACGGTGCCTCGGCAGAACAGTGCTGGTCCCCAACGGAGGATCGACCAGCCGCCGCCTCCACCGCCGCCACCACCTCCTGCCCCCCGGGGCCGGACACCCCCTACCCTGCTGAGCACTCTACAGTACCCACGACCCTCCAGTGGAACCCTAGCATCAGCCTCGCCCGATTGGGCTGGCCCTGGGGCCCGGCTGCGGCAGCAGTCCTCCTCCTCCAAGGGAGACAGCCCCGAGCTGAAGCCACGCACGGTGCACAAGCAGGTCAGTGCTGTGGGTCAGTGGGCGGGGTGGGGCTCTCGGCACCCTGGTGTCACACCCTATGTCATGCTCCCTCGGTCATTTCACTCCACTTGCACCCAGCTGCCATCCCATGCTGAGTGACGCTGCGACCACCCCATCCACTGGCCTGCCACACATACTGCCCTCCCCCAGGAACCAGGGACACTGTGGCCTTAAGAAGTGCCAGTGCCCTCTGCAGGTTCCACGGACAGCCTGGAGTCAGGGAGCAAGGAGTAGGGGCTCCATCTCTAGTTCCCTGCCTAGTAAAGCGCCCACCAGAGCCAGAATCCGCCTGCCCCTCTTATGTAAACACTGTCTCCCCAAATGCTTGCACAGGCTGAGCCAGCCCTAGGTGCAGGTGCCAGGAGGGTGGGCAATCCCTGCCACTAAAGACTGCAGGCAGGACAGGGCTGGATGTGCTTTGGGTTGGCTGTCCAGCCCAGCACTGGCCTCTCAGCCTGGCCTGTCACGGCGCCCTTGATGGCAGCAAAGCGCAGTGTGCAGGGGCATCCTGGGCTGTTGACTGCTTCTGGCTGCCATCCAGAAGACAAATCTTGCCATGGAGGTGCTCAGGCAGCTAGAGGTCTCTCTTGCCACTGTCCTCCAAGCCCTTGTCCCTGTGGCTCGCCTGGTACCAGCCTCACCCCTTTCCTCCCCATTCTGCCTCTCTGTAACCCCTCACAGCTGTGTTTCATTGTAGGGCCCTTCACCTGTGAGCCCCAATGCCCTGGACCGCACAGCCGCTTGGCTCTTGACCATGAACGCGCAGTTGTTAGAAGACGAGGGCCTGGGCCCAGACCCCCCCCACAGGGATAGGCTCAGGAGTAAGGAGGAGCTCAGCCAAGCAGAAAAGGTAAAGCTGGACCTGGGCAGGGAGGGCAGGGCGGGGCTGCTGGATCCTGCCAATGGCCAGTCCCCTTCCGCCCCTTGTCCCACATGAGGACAGCAGTTAGTGGGATCTGGAGGAGAGCAGCAAGAGGGACATAGTGTAGACCTGAGGTTTCTAGTACAGGCTACACAGTAGAGTCGGCAGGAAATGGTATTGGGTCCAAACTCAGGGGACCTGATGACCACAAGTGGGAAGATGGCTTAGCCTGGGGACTGCCAAGCTGCTGAGCTCAGGGACTGGCTGCCAAAGGTGGGGCCCCTTCATGCGTGAGGAGGCAGAGGCAGCGGGGTCTCCAGGACAGTTGGGAGAGCCACTCCGTATGCCCTTGTCCCTCCAAGTTGGTGCCTCCCCAAGGCTGGGCCTTTGTCCTGCTGGTCTTCACCAGGGTCTGGGGAAAAGAGCAGAGTCACCAAGATGGGGGTGGAGTCAGATTGCCACTGGGTGCTTTTTACACCCCACACGCTCTTCCGGCATTTGGGGCTGTGGAACACTTCGATCATCTTCCCGGCTCTTCCAGTGTGGCAGCTGCCTGGGATCTGTGGGTTGTCCTGGGAGCCCAAAACCCAGGTCAGTGGAGGAACCAGTGCAAGGCTCCCCAGAAAGACAGCCACCTCCCCACTGGCTCTGGTGCTCTCACCCCTTAGCAGCTCTCAAACAGGGGCCACGGCTCAGGGTGGCTGTGCTCCCTCTCCCTGGTCTCAGGCGCAGTCCATCTCCATGCTGCATTCGCCACCCTCCCCCCTACTTGACCCGCTGCATCTGCCTGCTTTCTCCATAGTTGTGTGAAGGGGACCAGGGGTCGTGACCCACAGTGCTCCTAGAGCCTCGTGGGGAGCGAGAAGCCTCACCAGGCTGTCTGCCTCCGGTAGCCCTGTGTCCTCAGGGGTCTGGCCTGTCTTGCTTCCTGGGCCACCCCTGCCTCTCTCTGCAGCCCGATGCAGCTGGCTCCTCCTGCGCACTCTGCCTCCCTTCTCCTGAGAGGCTGAGTCGGGTCCGGAGAGCCCAGTCCACCTTGCTCCTCATCCCTCTGCTGTCCTCTCCCCATCCGCCACCCCAGGTCCCGTGGTGTGAGGGTCATGAAGACAGTCATGCCGTATGGCTTGGTTACCTCATCTGGGCCTCAGTTTCCCCTCCACAGAGGCCCCACAGCCTGGTACCTTCATTTCTTTCAAAAAGTTCAAGGCCCTCACTCCTGAGCTTTGGGTCTGAGTCTGTATGCCCTAGGGCTGTGTGGGGGCAGGCTAGAGTCTCCATCCCGGATGCTGGTCCATTCCCTGTCGGGCTCCTGCCCACCCAGTGCCCCGCACAGGCTGACGGGCTGTGCTCTTTGTCCGGGTGCTGTGCCCATGGCACGCTGCCCTCCTGGCAGGACCTGGCGGTGCTGCAGGACAAGCTGCGAATCTCCACTAAGAAGCTGGAGGAGTATGAGACCCTGTTCAAGTGCCAAGAGGAGACGACGCAGAAGCTGGTGCTGGAGTACCAGGCCCGGCTGGAGGAGGGCGAGGAGCGGCTGCGGCGGCAGCAAGAGGACAAGGACATCCAGATGAAGGGCATCATCAGCAGGTGAGGTGGCCTGCCCCCGGCCTGCAAGGCCCCTGGCCTAGGGCAGGCTGGCCTGCTGCAGGAGAGGAGGGTGTTGCAGGCAGTGGGGCAGTGATACAGGCCTTGAGTGCAGTGTTGGGTGCAGAGTTGAGGGTGGCACCAGCCAGGGTCGGCTTCCTGAGGGCGGAGAGTCAGGGTGTCTCGCTAAGCTCTCAGAGGAGTTAGGAAGCTGGATTTGGGGTGTCAGGAAAGACAGTGAAGACCACATTTAGGGCAGGAGAAGTGCACATACCTACACTCCACAGGTGGAGGTGGGAGGAGAGAGGAGGAAGGGTGCAGCCCGACCAGACCCCCAGATTTCTCCCAAGAGCATCTGGGTGGGGCCGTGTCACGGTGCCAGCTGTGGAAGAGAAGCAGTATGGATGTGGGCGGTGACGGTGCTGGTCTGGATGTGCAGTGTGATAAAAATACACAAGGACTATTTAAGTTAAAAAATTTTATTACAGTGAAAGTCACATCGCCCCTGAAAAGACTCCCCTTGGTTTGAACGCACTTATCCCGTGGTTCTTGCCACTTTCTGAAGCAGTTCTGAAGTCCTGTTCTGAGTGCCTCCAAGAGGTGTGGCCAAAAATACAGTGACTGTTGCTGCTGAGTGGCATCCAGCAGAAAAGCAGTGTGTCCTCACCCACCTTACTCACCAGATAGACCTGGAGCCGCACGGCTCCTGGCACTCCCTCGGAGTCAAAGTGACCACGAAGGGTAAACATTCGAATCGATTCAGGACATCAGGTCAGCCACAACAGCACAACCAAAGACACTCATAAAAGACGACTTCTAAAATTGCTTCAGAAAGTGGCAAGAACGACAGGATAAGTGTTTTCAAAGCGAAAGGAAGTATTTTCAGGAGGATTAGTGGCAACGTGTATTTTACTGTAACAAATTTTTAAAATTTAAGTACTTTTCAGTTAGACCTTGTATGTTTGGTTTCAAGGTGCTCAGATTGTTGGGGGCCGTCTGGAGGACTGTTGGTTTTGAAGGTGACTCACCTTCACTGAAGGCTTGCACAGGTCCTGTGTGACTCCCCTGTGTCCCTCCATCTCCGCCTGAAGCAGGGTGGATCTACCTCACCTTCGTGTGTGCAAACGGGCGCAGCCCAGGTGTAGCTTCCAAACAAGCACACGTAGTCCCAGTCCTGGAGTTAAGTTCCTTATGGCCGGAATACTAGCACGAGAGGAGAGGTGGTGTGGATTTACAGCTTGTTTGTTTGTACTATCTCAGACCCCATCACCTGGACATACTGAGCAGGTGTGTGGTGGCCAGGGAGTTCCCTATCTGGCTTCATGCTTTGTCTACAGATAAACCCTTTGCAAATTCCTCCTGTGTAGTCCTCCTGATGTCTCTTCCTGACCATTGTTTGCTACAGGTACCTGTGCTTTTGTTCATTATAAAATGGTTAACGTGACCAGAAGGGAGGGGACTAGAGACCTATTGTTCACCCAACCTCCAGCTGTGCCCTGGGCTCCACTGTGTGTGGTTCCAAGAAAGTTTTCAACCTCCCTGCCTCCCCGCGGTGTGTGTTCTGTGAAAGGCACGTGCCCTCCTGAGTTCCACGGCTAACTTAACACGCTTATTTCTACTAACCAGTCCTGGTGTGTTTCCTTGTGTTTCTGTATCCTTGCTGCTTTTTCTGTCTGCTTTTTTACATCGTTCTGTCAATTAATGAGGAAAGGATATTGAGCTTTCCAATCATAATCATGAGTTATTTTATCTCCTTTCATTTCTATTGGTTTTTATATTACTTGCCCTGATACTCTATTCTTAGGTCCTTATAATTTCGGATTATTATGTACTATTGATGAGGTGACCCCCTTATTATTATAAACATCTTTTTCTCTTCTTTTCTGAGGTAACTGCAAATTGAACCCAGAGCCTTCTCATTGAGCTACAGTCCTAGCCCTTTTCCAAATTTTTTATTTTGAGGTACTCAGGTTGTCTCACACTAAATTGCCTAAGCTGGGCTTGACCTTGAGATCCTTTGCCTTAGCCTGCCAGAGTACTGGTATTACAATCATGTTCTCCTACACTCTAAACTCTTTTGACTTGAGTGAGTGTGGTATGTCCTCTGTCCTTATATTTTTAACCTGTTGCTTTAGTCCATTCAAACTACTACATCCTTAGACTGCATAATTTATATGTAGCAGAACATTTATTGCTTATAGTTGTAAAAGTTGAGTGTCCAAGATCACCAGACATTGATTTAGTGCCCGGTGAGGGCCTTTTTTTATAGATGGTGCCTTATTGCTGTGTCCTTACTTGTCAGAAGGGTTGAGCAAGCTCCTTCTGGCCTCTTTAGTAAGGGCACTCATCCCAGTCATGAGGAAGACCTCATGACCTAAAAACTCCTAGAGTCCTTGCCTGTTAATACCATCATCACTTTGGGGTTTAGATTTCAACATATAAATTTGTTAGGGAACACAAATATTTACACCATAGCACTTATCTATGTACATTACATAAAAAGAGTTTCCTCTATAATTACCCTGTTGTTGTGTCTTTTTTCTTTTCGGTCTAACAGTTTCTGCCTTTTATTTGGAGTATTTAGACCATTTATGTTTAATGTAGTTATCAATATGATTTTTTTTTTTTTTTTGATGTTGTTTCCTGTTGGTAGCACCTCTTTTTTTTTTCCTACCTTGTTTTGGGTGGAATATTTCCTAATTACATTGTATCACCTTTCTTGGCCTATTAACTCTCTGATTCTCTAGGGCAGGGGCTGGCAGGCTTCTGGTAAAGGGCAGATAATGAGTTTCTGGCTTTGCAGACCTTGCAGTCACACTGCAGTGTTTGAACTCCCCTGTTACAGCTGAACTGTTTCTGTGGTGTCAACCATACAAAAGCAGGCAGTAGGTTCAATTTGGCCTTTGCCCTCAGACTGTAACAACAGGGACTGTGTCATTCTCTTTATTTTCTATACTTACTGTATCATTTCTCTGGCAGTATTTAAACTTTCCATGGGCTGGAGTGTAGCTTAGTGGTAGAGCCCTTGACTAGAATGCACAATGCTTTGGGTTTGACCCCTGGCACCACAAAAATAATATCTTCATCACTGACTGTCACCAATCTGATTATGGCTTACCTTGGTGGGGTTTTCTTTGTGTTTCTTGGGCATATAGGTCTTGTTTCTCTGCCTCCCCCCCTTTTTCTGGGTCTCCCATAGCAAGTACATTAAGCTGCTTAATATTGTCACACATCTCACTGATCCTCTTTTCTCATATTTTTCTGTGTTTTATCTTACTTTCTTTAAGTTTGCTACTTATTTCATCTTACCCTGTAGTTTTTACTTCACACATTATATTTTTCACCTCTAGAATTGCATTGTGCCTTAAATTCCATCCATTTTTTTTCCTCATCCTGCTTGTATTTTCTTGAACGTGTAGAATGTGTACATAATAGCTCTTTTAATATGTTTGCCTATTAATGCTGTCACCTGTGACATTCAAGTCTACTTATGCTTACAAGTTTTTCTCCTGGTTGTAGGTTTTATTTTCCTGCCTCTCTGTATGCTTGATAATTTTTGGTTAGATGCCAGATGTGTGAATTTTACAGTTAGGTGCTGGATGTTTTTGTGTTGGTTTAAATATGTTTGGAATCAGGCTGCTTGGAATCAGTGTAGTCCTTTCGAAGCTTCACTTTGAAGCTATATTAGGGCGGGGCCGGTAGAGCCTTAGTCTTGGCCTACTTTGGCCACACTGCTGCGGCAGTTTCCTCCGGAGGTTCCCCTCAAAGCCCTGTGCTAGTGCATCTTTCCACTGTAGCCAGTAGGAAGGAACATGACCTGTTCCTGGGATTGTTCTGCTTGCTCCTTTCCAGTAGTTCTTGTCCAGCCTGCTCCTGGTAATTTTCATGCGTACAGATCTGTATTAGGATTCACCCAAAGACTCAGGGGACCCTTCTGGGGAGTAAGTCGATGCACAGTCTCTGTGTGGTACTTTGTCCCACAAACCCTACACCTGAACTCCCCGGACTCCCTGGACTCCCCGTACTTTCCTGGACTTCCCAAACTCCGCTGGACTCCCCAGACTCTCTGTGTACCCGGTGCTGTGAGGCTGCCCTTCCTCCCAGCCTGCAGACTGTGGGCTTAGCTTACCTTACCGGTTTCCTTTCTTAGGTATCGTTGATCCCTGCCCCCTGACCAGTGTGTGAAAAACCATTGTTTTGTGCATTGTCTCTGGTTTTTAGTCTCTCTGCTTGTTTTCAAGGCAGGAGTGTAAATCCAACCATCTTCTGACAGGCTTTGCTCCCCCTGCCCAGCATGGCTGACCCCGCACACGGCTGGGGGCATGCTGGGCTGGAGGGGTGGGAGGGTCAGGAGGAAATCAGACTTAGGAGCAGCAGGTGAGCAAGTGAGCAGAATGGAGGCTGAGGCCAGAGCCTGGGCAACCTTTGCAACCCGGGGCAGGCGGGACTGGACACCTGCAGAGCAGTAGCCTGGGAGATAGGCAGATGCCGAGAGAGCAGGGTGGGAATGCCACCTGAGTCTGGCAAAATGAGGCTGGGGGCACCAGGAAAGGGGTGGATGCCCCGAGCCAAGACATTTATAGAGGGTGTTCCTCCTCCTTGCCTCTCGGCTCACCCTACCCACACACCGTACTCCCCCACGAGAAGTAGCTGCTTCCTTTCCTCGGCTTCGGCGACCCGGGCTCCCACCAGCTGGGCAGCGGCGCAGCATGCAGCTATGCACCTGCACACAGTGTCTTTGACGCCTGTGAGGCAGAGGGGGCAGTCTGTGCGGCCCGCATCTCAGCCCTGGGCTGCCCAGCACAGAGCCCAACCTCAGTGAATGTGGGTGCAAATGGAAGAAGTTTTAGAGCCTTGCAAGATCTTCATCCTCCCCCTGCACCCCGGGTGCTATGCCAGCACTGCCCGCCGCACCCCCACCCCACCCACCTTGCCCCGGGCAGCCTGGGCATTTAGAAACAGAGCTGGGGGTGGAGAGTGGAGGTAAGGAGGGAGCAGACTCAGACATGTCTGTGGCTGGGGGCAGCTGGGGTCCTCTGCTCTGGCAAGTGTAGGAGGCATCTGGCTCAAGGAGGGGGCTGTCCCACTGTGTGCCCTCCATGTTGTTGTAAGAGGGTTTCCCACAAGTCCTCTCCTTCATCACAGGCTGCCTCCAGTGTCAGCCTGACTGTCCCTGTCTCTATTGTAGGTTGATGTCCGTGGAGGAGGAGCTGAAGAAGGACCATGCAGAGATGCAAGCAGCTGTCGACTCTAAGCAGAAGATCATCGATGCCCAGGTGGGGTCAGGGCTCTGGCCCGCTGGTGGGCTACAGGTGGTAGAGGGCCCGGGACAGGGCAGGAGTGACTGCGGGGTGACATTCTCAGTCGTCCTCATCGCCGAAGCTGAGGAGGGCTCTACTCTGAGAAGTCAAGCCTGTGGTCTCAGTAGACCACGGCTTCATAGCACAGGCTGTGAAGGGCGCAGGCAGTTCTTGCCCTGTCGGAGAACTGGGTAGGTGTTGTCTTTTGCAAGAATTGCTGAGAAAGAAGCAGAACCTGCTGTGTGGGAGTGGACAGGGGCTGGACAGCAGCTGGGCAGAGACACCAGCAGGGTCTCATTCAGCATTGTGGCTTCCAGAAGGGGAACCGTGCAGAGGACTTGAGCCCCCAGGCCCTGCGCTTGGGACTCTGTCCCCTTCCTCTCAGGGGCCCAGGAGTAGGTGAGGCCTTGCTCTGCGCAGACAAGGAGCTGTGGCCTCTGTGGGTGCCACATGTGCATACCAGCCAGAGTGCCTACCCTCAAGGCCGCAGGTGGACAGTACCACTAGAGCTGCTGCAGGCAGAAGCAGGCACTGAGGTCCTGGCCACGATGGTGGGAGCCGCCTCCCTGGAGTGCTGATTGTCCCTCGGCCTGGTGTCATCCGGTTTTGTGTGCCCTGTGCCCCGTCCCACCTCTGCCCGGCCAGTGCTTCTCATAGATCGTGCGGCCTCAGGCGGGGTTGTCCTCCCTGCAGCCCAGGAACCCGCCCCCTATCCCACTGACACCCTCCTTGCCCACAGGAGAAGCGCATCGCCTCCTTGGACGCCGCCAATGCCCGCCTCATGAGTGCCCTGACTCAGCTGAAAGAGAGGTACAGCATGCAAGCCCGTAACGGCATCTCCCCCACCAACCCCACCAAATTGCAGATTACTGAGAACGGCGAGTTCAGAAACAGCAGCAATTGTTAACCTGCCCAAGGAGAGGGGGACTGCGCTGGCCCAGGGCAGGGTCTCAGCCGGGGAGGCGCCCCACAGTGGCAGCCCCAGCGCAGGTGACCAGAGGCTGAGGTGCTCCCCTTCCCCACCTGGTGTCCGCTGTCCGCTGTCCAGGAGGCGGCCGCAGAGGGAGCTGGAGAGACTGCTGCTGCAGCGCGGGGCGGGTGCCCAACACGCCTGCTCCTCCGCCCAGGAAGCGTGTGCGCTGTGGGCAGAAGAGACTGCACGCTGGGCGTGGGCAGCCTGGTGGGAGGGAGGGGTCCCGCCACGCTCATGTCTGGTCGTTGAATTTGGTGTGTCACCTCCTCTGCCTTGACCTGGCCAAGTGCATGTACCCCCTCTTGGTGGCAGAGGGAGCTGCCTGCAGTCTTGATGGGGAGGCCCGGGGCCACCTCTGTGGCTTCCCCTGGCCCCTGAGGCTAGAAGCTGGTGAGTGGTTGGAATGCAGGAGACAGTGGGGGGACACAAAAGCAGGGTTCTGTGTGTCCTGCCCTGAGACCTGCACTGCATGCAGCCCCCTGGGGCCCTTGTGGCTGTGAGGAGCCGAGGGTCACCTGCTCCTATAACTGTGCCGGCCTCAGCCCTCCACCTCCGTCCCACCCTTCTTTGCATTGCCAAGTAAACCAGTGAGGATTGTGGCTTTTCTTCTGGGCCCCGCCAACCTATAGGCAGGACTACAGCCTCCCCCACTTGCCACCTGGGCCCCGCTGACAGCCTGGGGCTCCCAGAGCCAAAACGTTGGGCAGAGCTGGCCAGGTGGCACTCTGCATTGTAGCTGCCTGCCCTGGGCCCCATGCATCCAGGGCACAGTGGCCCTGTGGGGAGTGGCGAGCTGGTGCTCTCCCCAAAGAGGTGGTCTTTCCTGTGATGGAAAATCTGGAAAAGAAAAGAAAAATTCAGGCGCCCGCAGGCCCTGGGAAGGTGGATAACTGTGATTTTTTTTCCTTTCACAGTATGCATTAGAAACAAAAGCCCGCTTGCTCGCTTGCTGGAACACAGGGGCCTTTTAAATTGAGCGTGCGCACTGCATGGGAAATAGCGGCCCTGGAGGATGTTAGACTTGCTCCCTCTCCAAGACAGCAGCAGCCTGCACCAGGCCCCGTGTGTGCAGCCGCCTCCTCCTCACCCTTCCCAGCCCCCAGCCAAGGACCAGGCGCTGCAGACAGGGGAGGGGCACCCCACAGCGGGGGCTGGCTTTCCTCAGCTCCAGGCTGTTCTGTAGCATATCTGCCCCTCCCCGCTTGTGGGACCTAGGTGGGGAAGAGCTTGGGTCTCTCCCAGCCCCTTGTAGTCCCATGCCCTACAGATTCCAAGCCCTGGCCCTGGGTCACCTAGGGCAGGAGCTGGGGCCTTTCTTTGCCCAGGCCGCAGAGCCAGGGCTGGGTGAGCTACAAGAGCTGCCACCTCTACCTCTGGGGCCGGCAGGTGCCAGAGCCCCCTCCAGAAGGGTACAAGTGCTAGAAGGAAGGCCCAGAGCCACACTGTACCCCGTCTTGGGCCTGAGGACAGGCGATAGCAGCTGCCCTGTGAAGGGCTGTTAGACGTAGCCTACAGTCCAGTTAGGCTAGAGACAGGAGCTGCTGGGGAGCCTGGGCCACCACGGGTCAGCGGCCTGAGGAGGGAAGGAGGTAGGGCTGGGGCTCTGCCGCCACCACCCTCGTGCCCGCTCCCGCCCTCCTCTTGCACCTGCGTGCTCAGTCCAGTGGCCACAAAGGCAGGGCCTGGCTGCAGTTGTAGCCTCCTCTGGTCAGCATCATCCTCCCGGGAGCCCTGCTCCTTCCTTCCAGCCCTCCCACTGATGCCTGGTAGAGCGACCTTGGACTGAGCGCCTCTTAGCAATACGGGGAGGTCCCCAGGGCCGGGGCAGCAGGGTGTGGGGACCAGCCGCTGTGGTGGTGCTGGCTGCCCTCGGCAGGGGTTGTGAGCTCTCAGGCCGAGAGCCTTATTTACCTAGTGCAAAAACTGTAAAAGTGTACAGACTCTTCACAAATTTTTATCTTAATTGCAAGTCTGACGATTTTTGTAAATGTACTTGGTGTTTGACTGTAATGTAACTATTTCACCCAAGGGTTGTACATAGTCCTTTAGTCCTGGTGCTGCGAGGGCTTACTGGGACCGCTGCTCTCCCGACGGTTTGTATTGTAGTTTGTAACCTAGGAGATGGTGCTGGGCAAGACGAAAAGCGTTGGGATCTGCCTGTTTGTGTCTTTCCCTGCCTGTGGCATTTATTTGTTGGCTTTGCTGCGTGCTGTCCGGGTAGAGGCAGGGCCAGTAAAGAGGGCGCCTGTCTGAGACCACAGAGACCCTGCATCCCCAGGGCTGGGCCCTGCTGCTGCAGGTTGCCAGAGGTCCCTGAGGGAGGGGCAGTCCCTGCTCAGGGAACACCAAGCCCCGGGCCCCTGGCCACCGAGACCCAGACTCTGCTGGAGAAAGCTACCCTCTTCCCCTGCCAGCACAGTATCCTGACTGGTTTTGCTTAACTCGTACGTTCAGGGTGAAGGAAACTGCCAAACTTCCACTGTAAAGACTTTCCTACTGCTGGGAAGGTGGGGTGGGGTCCAGGGCCAGAGCTCCACACAGACCCCTCCCCCCAGAGCACCTACCTGAGGGACACTGCTCCCTTGCACCTGTCCGTCTGCGGGAGCCAGACTGTCCAGGGAAACAGCCCCTTTTTCTACACACTCAGCAACAAAGCCACCCCAGTCCCCTACTTCGTCCCGCTCCCCCTTTTGTAAGTATGTGAAAAGAAAAAATGCAAACATTGGGGTTTGGCTGGAGCTCCTCCCTCTAGCCGTGACTTTTAACCATGTAATAATGTACAGAGAAAGTTGTTGGTGTTCTAAGACTCTGTGTGGCTGTGCAATTTCTGTACATTTGCAATTAGAAATATTAAAGATTTATTTAGCTATTTTAAGCCTGACTCGCCTCTCCGTTAAGCTGTGTCTTGGGTGACTCTATAGGGGTGACTCAAAGCCCCGGACTGATCCTGTACTTTTCCAAAGGGCCCTAAGTGTGGTTCACCATGGCAGAGCTGTGGGAGGGGATGACCTGGGATTGTCGCCTCCTCCTGGTTGTGGAGGGAGTGGAGCAAACGATCCCTTAAAGACTCCCCTGGCTCCCATGCCTGACAGGGAGGTCTCTGCCGGTCCCCTGATCTTCTGGGAGATCAGATGGCAGACACCCGATCCTGCCATGCTTCGCATGACATGCTCTCCCATCCGCTGAGATCAGACTCCGAGGGAAGAGGCCAGGCAAGCGTTCGTCCAGGGTCACCCACGGGTCATGCCTGAACTGGACTAAACGTTTCCAGCACCTGGCAGTGACCCAAGAGGCCAGTTCCACCTCTCCTGAGCCAGAGACCCCTGCGAGGTGGAACCCAGAACCCTCCTTGGCAGCAAACCAGCCCCCATGATCCTTCAGCTGCATCTCCACATAGGGGCCTTGCGGCCCCAGGTCCTGCTTGTTCTTGGTCAGCCTCTTGGGGTCCCAGAGTGAGGTCAGCTCGGAGTCCAGCTTCAAGGGGAGAAGGTCAGCCCCAACCCTGTCTCTGAAAAATGAGACATACACATGGCTGAGGTTCTGCCGAGGGCAGGGGTGTGTGTGCTCAAATCACCGTTTCAAGCCCTGGGTCTGTCTCCTGCCCAAGGACTCTGGCTCCAGCTGGAGACTGGGGCCCTGATACCCAGCATGAGCGACGGGCCCCAGGGGAGCCCCAGGGCTTCTGTCCCTGCCCATGCAGCCCGTGAGAGGCAAGGTGCCATGGAGCCTCAGTCCACCCTCGCTAGCCTCGGGTGACCACAGCCACTTGTCCAGCACCCTGGCCTTTCCTGTGAGGACCCTCCCTCCGCTCCAACCAGCTGCCCTTGGCTGCTGTCACCCCCAGCTTGGAACCAGCCACTGGGCCTTCTGCCTCTTTAAGCCCTCCTGACAGCCAGGCATCCTCCCACGTGAGGACACCTGCTGTCCGCAGACCCACACTAGCCCGGCTACCCCAGCCCTCTAGAGCACAGGAGAGACGGGACCTGCCCCTTCCCAGGCAGCCCCTCGCAGGTCTCTACACCTCTGCCTGGTTCAGCCTCTCCGTGGCCTTTGCCCCTGGCTTTTCTCCACCTGACCTTACAGTGCCAGGACCAGCTCCTCTTCTGCCCCAAGCTGCACCGCTTTCTCCCTTCAGCCAGGCTTACGTGTCCCATCTGCAGGCACCTGCCATCTCCAAACCCTCACCTCCCAGTGACCCAGCCCATGGAAACCGGGTTCTCCTCCCACTCGCAGCCCTTCAGTGCCAAGCCTGTGGACCCGTCTGTGCCTCTGTACTGCTGTCCCCTGTGCAGGTGGCCAGGCACTGCTATCCCTCTGTCGGGGCCATGCTACACAAGTGACACAGAGCACAAAGAAATCACAACGAATGGCCAAGAGACCATTCCCCTTCATAGTCAGGTGGCGTTTATAACAAAGGTAAGGCCACGAACCTCTGGATAAAAGAGCGGTGAACTGAAAGCAAAAACTGCTGAAAGCACAGAGGAAAAACCAACAGAAGCAATTGAATTTGAGATTAACAGCATCAGCATTAATTTATTACAGATCAAGGAGGCAAAAAGAACGTAGAGGATTTTCATGAATAGTAAGGTTTAGTAAGCAGGGATATATCAAGTTCCAAGAGAACATACCCTGTTTTTCTGATTATAACTTGCGACATTATCGAAAGGTAACCATGCACTGAGATAAGGAACTTCAACCAGTAGCCCAGAGAACCAGTTCAAGCCACAGCCTGGTTGTTGAAGCGATGACCCTAAAGATTGGTAATAAATGTGATTTTTTTTTAAAAAAAATCAAAAAGTTTTGAAAAGAAATACTGAACTAACAGACTTCAAACAAAATTAGTCTTTCCATTAAACAAGGTATATTGACCGTGTGCATTTATTTGTTGTCCTCCCACAAACATCACTCTCCTGACAGGAAAGGAACACATGCTGTCACCTCTAAGGACAAAATTAGTGTGGCAGGAGATATAAAGAGATGAGAGAACCTGAGAACCTGTCATGGAAACTGAGGCACTGCTGACTACACAGAGTGGAGGGAGAGATGGGCCAGAATGTGCTGATCAGCCCAAGGAGGCCTCTGAGCTCATGGAGCCTTGTGAGGCAGAGCCAAGGGGCTGGAAATGGAGACCAGTCCCCGTCCCCTGCTTTGCACAGCCAGGAAACTGCTCCTCCCTCATCTCCTTGCAAGGAGCTAGACATTTATTCACTAGAGAAGCCAGTCCAGGTGTGCTCTGGACTTGGGGACACCAGGCAAAGCGGAGGGCTTTGTGAAGTACAGGACCAATAGTGGGTGAGGGGGAAAGTGAGCCTCCGTCCTCAGTGACACCCCCTTCCCACTCTCCACACCTGCTTTGATGCTCCCAGTTCCCCCAGCCAGGTACCCATCCACTGCACAGCTGACTGGAACATTCTTTCCAAAAGCCAACTTCAGAGAGTCTTGCAGATGTTTCCTCAATGAAACAACTGAATCATTGTCCCATTGTCACAGACTAGCACCCACTTGTCAAGATACTTGGCGTGAACATATGTGCACACAAACTCTCAAAGAGTACACACAGCCAACAGCTCCCAATGATTCAGGAACATTTGCCATATGAAAGGATTCATCAAAATCATTTAATCTGAAAAAAGAAACAGACAATTTGGAGAAGAGGATTAAACAAACAAGCTACAGTATCCTTATAGTGTTTTGTTTTAGACTTAGATTATCCCCCAGAAGGTTCATGGGTTCAGAGGTGGGGCTTGTTTGTGGAAGGTGAGTGGATCAGGGGGCCACTGTACTCACCAGTAAATTCACCCATTGATGACTTCATACCTGGTTGTACTGTTAGGAGATGGGGCCTGGCTGGAGGTGGGACCCTGGGCATGTGACCTGGAAGGCTGTCTTCTTGTCCCAGGCTCCTCCCTTCTCTCTCTGCTTCCTGGCTATCATGGGATAAGCAGCTACCCTCTGTCCAGGCTCTTCCACCAATCCTGTTCCTGCCCTAGAGCCAGCCAACCATAGACTGAAACTATGAACCAAAATAAACTTCTCTTTTAAGCTGTGGGTGTCAGGTATTCAGTCTCAGTGATGGGAAAAGAACTAAGACAGACTTTGGTGAAAGAGAAGTGGGGTCATTGCTGTGACTGCCTGACCATAGAACACTTTAGAAGTGGTTTGTGGGAAGAGTATGTAGGAGAGATGTCTGCTAGAGAAGTCCTAGAATGCTGTCATCAGAGCTTGCTGGTTGATACTGGTCACACCTCGGAAGACCAGTGCTGATGGAAATGCAGACAGTGAAAGCAAGGTTTAGGAGTTTTCAATTGAGAATGAAGACTCCATTAGCAGGTGGACTAAAGACCATGCATATTACACTCTGGCATAAAATTTGTCTTCATTTTGCTCATGTTCTGACACTTTTTGAGAAACAGGTTAAGGGTAGTGTACTAATTAAACTGGTGAGGAAATTTCAAAGCAGCCCAATGTCTAAGCTGTAACATGAATATTGCTAGCTGCTCTTAACTAGATCTACAGTGAAAATAAAGAGTAAAAGACAAATATTAAAATTTTCCAATTTTATAAGAAAGGAAGCACTTGCTTCCTTTATAAGTTGGAGCCACAGAAAGCATGGATGCTAAAAAGATTAGCATTGAAATGTCAAGTACTTTGCATAGGGACAACAGGAAAGATGGCTTGAAGGCAGCTCAGGAACTGGCCATCCTTGGAAGGCTCAAGGGTACAAAACTGTAAAACTAAGCTCCCTGCTGCAGAATGCCCACCTATAGAATTGGTTCTCTGGGGTTCACTTAACAGTGTTCAGCTATCCAGGCACAGAGAAACTCCTGTGACCATGGCTCAAGCTCAGATCTTGGCATCATCCACAGGGTGCTGGTTTTACAGGCATGCAGAATGCAAGAGTTGTGCAGTTTTGGAGACTTCCACACAGTTTCAAAGGCGAGGCAGTGTACCCCTGAGAGGGCAGTGCATGAAGCTGTGCATGCAGTGGAGATCCTGGGATATGGAAGATGCCAGGAATGTGTAATATCTCCTGAGGAGTGCCACAGGCAGTGACTAGTGATAACCCAAGGTAGAGGTCATGAGGACTGGAATGGCAGTGCCATAGGAGTGGGACTA